TTCTTTGTATGCAAAAAAAATTCATGAAAAACGCCTCCAAAATCGCAGTCAAAGGTGGTATCCTGCCTTAATGTGAGAGAGAAGTACATCAGTGAAAGACGTTATCGTGGTCATTTCGTGATCGTGTATTAACTCGGAAGTTTATATGGAAGTTTATATTCTTAATTTTACCATTTCATCGGCAAAAGTGAATGCGTAGTCCGGCGATTGCATGATTTTCATTGCAGGTAAATTTGAAGAGGAAATTCTCTCTGTGCGTAAATACTAAATCACGAATTGCTTTAATATTTCATCCTTGAGTACTGTATCCTTTATTATAATCGAGCGCTTAAGAGTTTACCAACAAATCTTTAGCTCGGCAAAATAAGGAAAGAAGTCGAAGGCGCGTTCAGCAGTGATATTCATTTAGAAGTCGCCTCTGCAGAAGAGAAACGTACTAACTTTGATCAGCGCTCAATTATTTTCCACGAGACTTGTAGATTTGAAACAATGGATATTTTAAGTTTCTTTTCGAAATGTATCGGATTTTGAACAATACGATTAGCGCGGGCAAGGATGTACACGTGAAACGAATACAAAATCACGAACGCAGGTGCAGCGCAGCTGAGGGCACTTCTGAACCTGCCGAGCACGGATGCGAGGACACACGCGAGCCCCTCGTCCCATTTTGAGGGTCGACAATGGACCACCGATGATCCTAACGCACCGGTGAGGTCGAACGATGATCCTTCGACCGATGGAGACTGCGGTGTCCAAAGTACGAAGACTATCGACAGCAGCAGATCGAGCTACGACAGGTTGAACTCCACCTGGGACGACTGCAAAGCCACCAGGCCGACCTCTCTGGACGACACTTCCGGTATACAAAGTTACGAATGGAGCTTGGAGACCCAGAGCGACGCGCAGAGTACGCCGATGTGCCTCTGCGACGAGCTGGCGATCGCGTCGAAGGATCGCACCGCGATTTTCGGAAACGTACGCTCTTTCGTTATGAAAGCCTTTGTATAAAATTAATTGCCTCGTCGCCGTGCGATTTATCCGTAGACTGAAATGGGATCAATTATGTCGGCAGAATCGAGGCGCCGCCATCAATGAAGCAGTATCTATCCTCGAAGGTCTTCAGGGAGATCCTGGGAAGGTTCTCCTGGAGGAGGAGGATCGATTCTGCGACAGCACGTCTGCTCACGATCAATTAACCAGACTGGCCCTGGCCATCGAGACGGACGTGGAAGCACCGGCGGTTCCCGACGATCCGAACAATTGGATGCGCCGTCTTCGCGATAGAATAGAACGGTTGCAGCTCGCCAATAGAGAGATCCACGGGGACATACGCGGCTTACGTGCAAACTTTCAGGTAAACGTCTCGTCCCCTCGCATATCTTTCGCCTCTCATCGACGTGAAATTAAGGTCTCGGCTGCAACTCAAACGGCTTCAATCTCTCGAGGAAGTCGGTGTTAGGGACACTGTGAAGATATGAGAAGTGCAGAGATAGTTTATATACCGTACCGATTGCATTTTACTATTCGATATCGATTGCGTTAAATATGCATGGCAAGCTTTTTTAATTTATGCGAAATGGAATCTTCGGCAATTGAGATTTTTAGAGAGGTCGCAGCTTGTCAATTTTTTATATCAAGAGCAATGGATTGGAATTCCATCCAAGTATTTACCTGGGGTCATAAATAATGCGGTATAAAAGGGGGCTTGCTTTATTCTTCAGCTCCAAACCGAAAGACTTAATATCGCCAGGAAATTGAAAATTTTAATATTAAGACGGGAAGAGGTTGCGAATAATAATAGAAAATATATTTTGGTTTAAAACGAAAGTGCCAAGTTTTTTATCTCATTGCAAAGACATCTAGAAACCTGCATTACTTATGGGACGACACAATATATCCAAAGTATATGTAAAAAAAGAAAAGGTTATCTCACTTGCATCTCGACACTCTGTTGCCGAAACCGTCGTTATACAATATTCATACAGCTTGTGAATTTTGCAGTGCGACGAAAAGAAGGCAATCAATTTGTTGGATGACACAACGAGGTTGCTGGAAGACGTTCACGACCTGAGATATTTCGACGACCTGGTGAAGCTGCTAGAAGGCGAACTCGAGAGAATCTCCAGAAGAAATTGGCCGTTTATTCTAGGACACAGCAAACCCCACGAAGAAATGAATCTAATCATCTGACTATGATCTCAACGATCGTCGCGAAGATCATGATTGCGATCTCCAACACAGTTACTAGTCGATTGTGCAGGATGAAAAGATTTTCCTCGGCAAGAGGATGTAAGTGATAACGGCCTCTTTTTCCTTAACCATTGAGTTCGATGTTCATACAGAAAAAGTCCTCTTCTCTCGGCGTGGTGACTTAAATGCTCCATGAAAATATTGAGACGATACGTGCATAATCCCCGAGGATAATAATCATAACTGTAGCACAAGAGATTGAATGTCGGTATGGTCCAAATCGAACAAGATGATCTCATTTCTCGGCAGGGAAATCGATTTCGTAATACATTTTATCGAAGTGAGTCTCGTGCAAATAATGATTGTAAAATATGATGATTATGACAGAAGCGGCGTGCGGTATATACTCTGAATGAGTCTGATCTTATTTCTTATTCTTTCTTATAGAATTTTCAATAAAACGTTGAAACTTGAACACAGAAAATACTTGCGTTTAATACACCCAGAAAAATAGAGAGCAAACATACATATGCTTATTATTACTAAACAATTTATTAATTTATAGGTCGTACATATTTGAATTCGTGTACATAGCACCGAGTAAAAAAATCCCTAATACAACAAATCGTTGCTACTCATCGTTACATTCGTCGCACACTAGGTTTACTGCTATCTCGCCGCGTTTCGCGAACATTTTTAATGCCATTTTTAACACCCGTCCACATCGCGTTAAATATTCGTACTTTGATAAGCTAAGTCTACACTTAGTGGGAGGCCTGCTCGGCGTCCCGTTAATACTGTCACCCTTGGCCTCGCTTTTTCCCGCGGAGCCGCGGAAATTAGGTGACGTCCGTGCGCTGCATGTGCCTGATGTGCTGTCGGGAGGAGTCGTGGTAGGCGATCCCCGCGCGCAGCATCTCGCCGTGTCGGAAGACATCGTGGGACGCGGAGAAGGACGGTAAAGTGGGCAACGACGGTAGCAGGCAGCTCAGCATACTGGGACCGCCGTCCGAGTAGATCCCGTTGGTCGGAGGCACCATAGACGTGCTGCACGTGGCCGGGGTGGATCCCGTCAGCGGATGCCCGTTCTGATCCCCGGAACTCAATAGGCTTGAGCTCGTACCCATCAGATTCCCTACGGGCATCGGAAAGATCTAGGTTTCGACATTACGGGGCCGTTGTCTATACACGTTTCTATCATAATAAGCGTATGCAGGACAATTTGAATTGAATTCTAAGTCGATTACAAAACGTGTACGCTAAGGGGGGAAAAAATTGAAAGGAGACTTTCAATCAGCAAAGATTAAGATATTAAAATATTTAATATCATATGAGATAAATAATAATTTGTCGCAGTATATTTTGAGAGTAAAAACATCACGATTACAATGCCACTCATGTGACAACGTGAAACGGAACAAAGGTAAAAAAACAATTTTTAAACAAACGTGAAACTTAACGTCACGAGGATTAATCGCGACGGTATGATAAATCCCATCGCGAGAGGATATTCCGGTCGCAATCGCGTTCTCGCAAAACGTTGATAATTATCAGTGCTTATAACCGCGCGGTGCAGAATTTATGCCCACGTAAAGGAGGGACTTGCAATTCGCGTGAATATGTTCGCGGTGTAATCGCTTTAGTGAAAGCGATAACGCAATTCGGTGCGTCCCGTTAATCCTTCGACAATATCGCGTACATCATATAATGCGCACGAAGCGTAACATTAAAACTTTAATGCCATTGTGTAACATTTCTCCGTCGAATCATTGGTTTACGACCATGAGCTCTCATTACCGATATAATTACTCTTCAAACGTTCTATACACGGAGGAAATCCTTATCCAGATTATTCTATCGCTCTTCCTCTCTTCGTCCAGCAAATATCTTTCTCCGTATTAATTACGTTTGAATCGAGATATTCACGCTGGATAAATGACGCAAGAATCATTTGTAGAAAATGCAACGTTGTGGGAACCCGAGTGACTTGCGGTTCACCTGGAAGACTGACGACGCTCGAGGCGGAACTGACGGACGAGGCGATCGACAGGGGCGTCATCATGGGGAAGTCCGAGGCTTCGGTGGACCTCGCGGCGAGGTGCGAGTCCAGCCTGGCGGTGGGACGAACGCACGCGAGGGACGGCAGGCCGAAGTCGCTGGCCCTGTCCACAGCCGCCGCCGCCGCGGCCGCGGCCGCCACTGCCACGCGTCGATGCCGCACCGCGTGTATGCCGGACTTGCCGCTGTTGCCCAGACCGAAGTGCAGAAGCTCCAGGTGTCTTCTGAGGTTTCTCGACTGGCGCAGAATCGCGCCGCACAGCGGACACGACACCGGCTGATCGGACAGACTGCGTGCCTTCGACAATCCGTCCCCTAGAACGAATTCGAATCTAGACAGACTTGAGTAAAACTCGCCGTCGGGTCGGGACATCTCACTTCTACGCGATCCAATTCTAGTTAAACGATAGACGTGACAATAATTCGATCGGCCATAATTGTGCGATTAACGCTACGCTCGTATTTTGTGGAAAATAAGACAGCATAGAGAGTACTTTATTCGTGCTTTATTGAAAAAGAAAAGAAACTGGAGTAGTACATTACACCCATTATCTCTTATTTCTTTCTCAATTAAAATACTAGCGGTCTTGGGTATGCACTATTGTCAACAGTCCACGTACGCAGCGGAGCTCGCAGCGGAGCGTTACAAAATAGGAATGTGCGCCGATTATTTTCACTCGGTGGCTGTTGGAAGATCCTCGGTTTCAATATAAAATGGTAGATGGTAGCCCGTATTCTTAGAAACGTACTGCTATTAGACCATGCTGTGGCAAGGGAGGGAAGGGGTGGGGGGTGGGGGGGACGAGAAGGGGGACTAAAGAGGCAGTAAATGAAACGCAGTGGACCAAGTCGAATTGCACCAGTCGCACGAAACCCCCGATTATCGTGTAAAGCCGATGGTAAAAGAATAATGATAAATTTCACGATAGGACTTCATTCATTACGCTTAAACCTGCATCAGTTAACCCTAGGATACTGCCTTATACGCTAAAACGTTGGAAGATTCTTGTATAAAATTAAACGCGCAAATATACTCCGAACTTTCGACCTAGTTAAATAACGCGTACGCCAATAATTACGAATAGCCGCCCGCGCGAATGTTCGTGTAACTATACAAATGTAATGCAAAATATCTTTTCATCTCTCCTCTGTCTCCGTGTCCTCGCGTAACACACGTGTCACACACCACTCACCGCGATACCCCGGGTATCGCATCACTTCAACACAATCAGTAACCGAACAGAAGTCAAGAAAATTAACTAGAAAACTGTTCGTCAACGATACTCCCGGCGAGTTGGTGCGTCTCGCCAGTACGTTTATCTGGCGATCGTCGGCGACGGGACGCTGTCCGGCGACGACACCACGCTCTCGGGCTCGTGCGACGACGGCGAGGGTAGAGTGGGATTGCAGACTATCTGTTCGCAGTCGTTACTGCCGCTGTCGGTCCCGTACGTCACCGACGACTGATCGTTGTAACCCGACACCTCGACCTCGGTCTCGACCTCGGTCTTGATCTCCGTCAGCATCGGGTCAGAGTTGTCCGAGTTCTGCTGCGCCGTCGTCGTCGTGCCCATCGCGTTCGCCGTCGAGTTGTTGAACCGGTACTTGCACGAGGACAACAGGTGCCTGCGCAGATTCCTCGCCTGGCGCAGGGTCGCGCCGCACAGCGGGCAAATGCCCGGGCAGTCGGAGGCGCCGCGCGCCTTGGACTGATTCGCGCCGCCGCCCGACCCCGTCTGAGTGGCCGCCGCCAGACCGGACAGTGCCAGGCCGGGCGAAAAGCCCATGTTGAGGGAGCTGTGGAACTGCGGTATGTGCAACGGCGAGAACTGCATCGGCATTAGCGTATGCAGGTGCGACTCGCCGTCCGACGCGTGATCCTGATGCGCCGCCTGATGATTGTCCGCGACGGACGAATCGTGGAGTCGGGGTGAATGACTGCCGCCCTGATGGTTGTTCGCGTAGTTTCCGACCAGGCAGTTGCCCGCTGTTAACAGACACAAACACAATATTACCATACGGGGCTGAACTGACGTTGCTTTGGCTTGGTTTGAATTTGTCCCTTCCCCCCTCCCTCTCTCTCAGTCTCGCTCTCTATCTCTTTCCCTTCCTCTCTCTCTCTCTCTCTCTCTCTCTCTCTCTCTCTCTCCCCCCCCCCTTCACTCTCGCTCTCTCGCTCTCGCTCCCACGGTCGAATCTGAGGACGACCAATCAGAAATGCAGTTCAACCCGATCGATGGTTGTGCTTGTGTCCGTTTTAATTGAAACGAAAAAAAAAGGCCTACGTGGGTGTACGAAATCTCTCGCAGGCGGTGTAATTTTTGGTATGGTATTTTATACGATACGGCTACTGTGCTACAAACGTAAATACACCGGACACAAAACACAAGTGGAAAATTGCCGTTTTATCATTGCTGTCTTGCATGCTTAATTAGGATCAACTCAAAATAATTGCGACAGGCGTAGAAATGGCCCACGAACGAAGTAAGGAAAATTCGTGTGGCAAATGGTATTGCGCAGAAAAGAAGTGGGTACTTTTATTGCGAGGTGCTGCGAAAGCAGAAGCAAAGTCCGTCGCACAGCTAATCTCCGGCAGCTCGTCTCTCGTCTAAGAAATCAGCTGAACGGGGGATGAAACGTTTGCGGGAACTCCACGTTACCTGCGTCATCGGTCTGATCCATAGCGTCGTCCTCGTCCTTACTTTCGTAAGGCATCGTTCTGTTGTTGTCGTCCAGAGGCCTGCTTTCGCTCTCGGCGGCACTACTGGTGTTACACTGCCACTTTCCCGAGGACGTCGACGACTTCCTCCTCTTTTTCCTCCGTTTCAGCGGGTAGTGCGACGAGTTGACCGTCGCCCTCGACACCCCGTCGTTCGTCGCCGTCGGTAGCGCGGACGCAGGGACTTCCTCACCGCTCTAAATGTACAATAGCATACGCTTTACACGTGGATCTCAATCGCTCCGTCTTAGTTTGAAATACGACAAGACTCGGGGGGCGAGTCAAGGTACCTCCGTAAGTATAGTCGGCGGCGTTAATCCGTGAATGCACAGACAGTGGGCAGCCTGGAGCAAGGAAGGCAACTGCGCCGGCTCGACGCTCACTTCTCCTCGGTACACGAACTCCAGCAGAGACTCCAGGTCGTCCGCCCCGATTCCCGCCAGCATAACCACCGGATGCTTGCATGGCGTGCTCTGAGAGAGAAAGAGCAACACGTTCTGTCGTGAGTCTCGCGTTAAGAGTCCCTCCCGTCGGAGGGACACGGCGCTCACCTTCAACAGGTCCAGCAGGAACGGACTGGCCGCGCAGAGAACGATCTTGTGCGCGGGAAAGCTGCGCCCGCCGGCGGCCAGGGTGACGTCCACCAGATCGCCGTGTCCCCTCAGCAGCTGCACCGCGGAGGCCAGGGAGGAACTGAACTCGCCCCAGGACAGACTGTACAGCTGGCTGCTGCTACCCATTCCGTCTCCAGGGGCTTAGCTGCGACAGTGAGAAAGTTAGTGGCGGGGGGAAAAAAGGAGTCGACGTGAAACGACGTCGCGGTCGTCGAGAGTGTCGACAAGAAATTCGCGCCTCAATGAAACGCACACTCCCTCCGCACTCCACCGATTCTACGAGCGTCGTACACGCGCCGGGGCACTCGCGAACGTCTCCGCGCCGATCAAACAAAGAAACGCACATGTGTTACTTGACAAGCGGCGGGGCTTGTTTACTGGAGGAGTCGAGCTCCGATGTTCGCCGCCGGCGCCGAAGATCCACGGTGAGCCGCCAGCGAAGGCAGGCTATTACAGTTTGCGCGGCGGATCTTTCAACGCTGGCCCCGGGATCGTGCGGGATCGCTCTCGGATTACTCCAGGGGCAAGTTGAGAGACAGCCGGGCGGGAGATACGCCAGTGAACGAGACGAGAGGGTCGGCGAGATGAAATCTCAGCGCGAGACAACGATCCGGGGAACCGGCCTCGGGTACCGCGTTTCGATATCTCGGGGGATCAGGCATGGGGCACGCGTGCACCGACAATCCTAACGCGGACTAACGGTAACGACGCGCTCGTGCCTCTCTCCCCCTTTCTCTTTCTCTCTCTCTCTCTCTCCTCTCTTTCCCCGTCTCTCTCTCCTCTCTTTCTCCATCTCTCTCTCCTCTCTTCCTCCGTCTCTCTCTCCTCTCGTTCTCTCTCCATTCCCTAATTAGTGCCCCCACCCGATTAAGCGTCGCGGCGTCGTGCCGCGAGTTAACCTAACAAACGGAGGGATCGCTACCTGCGTGACGGCTTTGGGCCTCCTCTCACGTCGTCGTCGTCGTCGTCGTCGTCGTCGTCGCCGCCGCCGACGGCGACGGGGACGGGGACGGGGACGGGGGCGGGGACGGCGCGGCGAGTCGCGCCTCTCTGCTTCCCAGGGGCCGGGCGATCGCGCGCCGCCGTCGCCGAGTCGCCGCAACCAGGTTGGAGAAAGTCGTGGCCCGCGCGGGGGTCACCTGGGCGCATCAAAGTCGCGGGTTTGCCCGCGCGCGGAGGACGTTTCCTCAGAACGCGTGCGTCGCACGCATCGGGAACGGCGCGGGAGTGCGACGTCGCCGATGATGCTGCTGCCCGTCGTCGTCGTCGTCGCTGTCGTACCGTTCCGTTCGCGAGCTTCGGCGCGGCACGCGGCACACACCAGCACACACTCTCTCTCTCTCCCCCTCACAGGCGGGATTCAAACCCTGTCGCAGGGGCGATCGCGTATGCGTGTGCACTGTATACTGTATACAGTGTACGGTATATACGTCACGGCGCGTTGCGCGACGCAGCGGGGGCCGCGGTGGCGCCGCCGCGCGGCCGGCGGGCGAGGCGCGAGGCCGACCGGAAGTCTCCGCCGGAAACGAAGGGCGCGAATTGGAATTTTCGGCGGCCGCGGGCCGCTTGGACCCGACTCTGATTGCGCCGCTCTCCCTTTAGGAGACGCAAATCGACGCGAGTCAACTCGCTCGAGCACAATCTGCCATTGTGAAACGGCAAAGATTTTAAGGGAATCCCTTAGCCACCTTCTTTGCTGACACAGTCAAATATAGTTTCTCGCTTGTTCGCTTGTAATTTTTATTAGCTTCTATGCACAAAATAATGCCAGGATAAGTTGCGGACCGCATAGCGGAACATTTTCATACTTAAGACACTCAGTTCAGAAGTTTAATAAATAAGATATTGGTATTTGAAAGTCTCAATTCGTAGTTCTAACTAAATTTGAAATTGGCTTCATAAAATTGCAGAATTCTTCCACACGATTAAAGCGCGCACAAGGACAAAACCAGGGACAGTCGACTTTATACAGGGTGTCTGATGCAAAAGTAGCCAACTTGAAAATAGTGGTAGATTGGGTTAAACC